AAGCAGGTCTAGTAGTAACGAGCTTCTCTCTTTCTCTTTTTTTGGTCTAGGAAAATCTTTATTCCTTCTTCATATCTGAAGGATATCTTTGCTGGACAGAGTATTTTGGACTGGCAATTTTTTTCTTTCAACACTTGGAGTATATCATTGCATCTCTCCTGACCTAGAGTTTCAGCTGAAAAAATCTGCTGATAGCCTAATGGGAAGTCCTTTATAGGTTACCATCTCTTTTTCCTTGGCTGCTTTTAGGATTATTTATTTTTAAATTTTTGACAGATTCATTATGTGTCCTAGATAAGGTTTTTCTTTCCACTGAGATAAGAGGATTATATTAGTTTTGTGAACTTGGATGTACAGTTCTCTCCTCAGGTCTGGAAAATTCTCAGCTGTTATATCTTTGTTTTAAGTTAAGGTATAACTGATATATATCATTATACCAGTTTCAGGTGTACAACATGATTTGTATTTGTATAAACTGCAAAATGATCACAGTAAGTCCAGTTAATATCCATCATTGTGTGTAGTTACAAAATATTTTTGTGATGAGAACTTTTAACACATACTCTCTTAGCAACTTTCAATTATGCAGTACAGTAGCATTAACTGTCACCATGCTGTACATTACATCCCCAGGACTTATTTATAACTGGAAGTTTATACATTTAGATCTCCTTCACCCATTTCACCTCCCCTCGTAACAGTCTATTTAATTTGATAACAAATTAAATTGTGAGTGCATTCTAAAGCTCTACACTCTTCTTCTTTTCCTCACTTCCACATTTTGTATTTTTGATGTCACATTTTACATTATTTTATCTTTTGTATTCCTTAACTAATTATTGTAGTTAGTTTCTTTCTTTCTTTCTTTCTTTTTTTTTTTTTTTTTACTACTTTTGTCTTTAAACCTTCATTACTAGATTAGGGACATTTTCAGCTATTATTTCTTCAAATACATTTTCTGCCACTTTTTCTTTCTCTTCTTCTGAGACCCCTGTAATATAAATGTTGGTGTATTTGATGTTGTCCCATAAGTCCCTTAAGCTATCTTCATTTTTCCCCCCTTTTGCTGCTCTGATTGGGTGAGTCATTCTGCTTCATTGTATGCTCTTGAGCTTCTCTAATGCATTTTTTCCGGCTCAGTTATTGTATTCTTCAGCAATGTGACTTCTGTTTGGTACTGTCTTCTATTTTCTCTTTTAAAATTCTCACTGTGTTTATCCATTCTTCTCCCTAGTTCCGTGAACACCTTTATGACCATTATTTTAAACTCTTTTAACTTATTTTCATTTCATTAAGGATTTTTTTTCCTGTGGTTTTATTTTGTTGTTTCATTTGGAACATAGTCTTTTCTTCATTTTCATTAACTTTGTGTTGGTTTTTATCCATTAGGTAGAAGAGTAGAGCCACCTCTCCTAGTCTTGAAGGAGTGGCTTCGTGTAGGACATGAACTTTATCATCAGACCCTGTCTAGCTCTTGGTTGTCTAAGAAGCCTATTTTATGTTTAGTGGCTTCCAGGAGTCGAGGGTGTGCCAAGACCTGTAAGTGTCCCAGAGGGGGGCATCTCAGTCAGCATCTCAATTTAGGCTGATTGGAAGCCAGAACCTCAGGCAGCAGCTTTTAAAGTACTCAAATGTATAGTCCTGTGGGACCAGGTTAGGGGAAATTTCAGCCATAGTTTCTCTGAATACATTTTCTACTTCTTGCCTCTTTTTTTGAGAGCCCTGTGATGTGTGTGTTTGATCCTCTTGATGATATTGCATAAGCCCCTTATGCTATCTTCAGTTTTCCTTTCCCCACCCCGCCTCTAGTTGGATGAATTCCACTGCCCTGTCTTTGAGAAGAAAGCTGACCCTTTCTTCTGCTTGACTTCGTCTGCTGTTGAACTTCTCTACTGAATTTTTCACTACAGTTATTGTATTCTTCCACTCTCTGCTTTCTCTTTGGTACTTCTAAGCATTTTTCCTCTTTATGGAAATTGTTCATGCATTGGTTTCCTGACCTGAGGAAATGCATTGTATTATTACTATTAGATATATTATTTTGAAATGTTTATCAGGCAAATCACTTATATTTGCTTCAGTAAGAACTGTTTCTGGATATTTGGCTTGTTCTTTTGTTTGTAACATATTTCTATTTCTTCATTTACCTTTGACTCCCTGTTGGTTTCTGCGTATTAGGTAGAACAGTCACCTCCCCCAGTCCTGAGAGGTCTTGAGTGGGAGAGGTCCCTCATCAGTAAGCCCGGCCCGCTTCCTAGTCGCCCCTCAAGCCTCTGTGCTCGTCCGAGTTGCTGTCTTTGCTCTTGCTGATTCTCAGTAGTGGAAGGTGTGCCCAGATCTGTCAGTGTCCCAGAGGGGAAGGCTGCAGTCAGCACACAGACATAGACATAGGCTGGTTGGAAGCTGGAGCCTCGGGGAGCAGCTGGCGAAGTTAGTATTTGGGCCCATCCAGGTGGGTGTTTTGCTTGCTCTCCGATCTGGGCCTGGGTCTGCGGCCTTGCAGTGTGTGCACACGTGTGTGCACCTGCTCCTGAGCTTGCTGAGAGCGCCTTTGTTGTTTGCTCTAGTCTTCTGGGACTTGTAAATGCAAACCCTGTTGGCTGTCGGAGTCAGATGATCTGGGGGATCCTTCTCTCAGGCAGCAGCCTCGAAAGCTGGGGCACCAGACATGTGCACAGGTTCCTTCCAGATACACTGGTGACCTGCCGCAAGCTAGAGGAAGAGGGCCGGGGAGGCGTCTGCTGGTTTCCTTGGTCTCTGAGGATGGCAGTCGGCCCCTGTAGGTGTGCTACGTAAGAAGCCTGGCCCTTAGGCATCAGCGTTTAAAGTACGCAAATAGGACCCTCCCGGGGAAAGCCTGGGAGATGGGCGAGTTTCTTTGCTCCCTTTGCACTGAAACCTGGGAGGGTAGCCGTGAGCCCACACACCCACGAAGTTCTTCTGTTTCCTGGAGTCTTGTCGGTCTCGAGGACACAAGCCCCACTGGCTTTCGGAGTTAGGTGTTTTGGGGGCTTGTCCCTTGGGTTAGGTCTTACAAGCTGTGGTGGACGTGGGGTCCAAGCCCTTCACTCTTCGGGGAGAAGCTGGAGCCGTGAGTTCCCTCCTGGCTGCACGCTGCTGGCTGAGGGTGAGCTTGACGGCGTCTCAGCCTTTCCTACCTCTGCTGACGTGGGTGTTTTCCTGTCCCAGGTGTCGGAGTTGCCCAGGCAGTTCCTGGATTTCTTTTAAAGGAGATTGCTCCACGTATACTGTACCTTTGGTGTGTCCATGGGAGGAGGGGAGTTCAGGAGCCTCCCATGTCACCTCACAGGGCACTGTAGGCAGAAGGAATGTGCTGAAAGGGAGGGAATATTCGAGAACATCCTTTAGGCTCCTTCTGGCGTCTCACTCGGATAACCTTGTGGTTGTGCTTACAACAATCTTTTAAGTCTCTTCATTCTTCTACTTGCATCCCATTTCATTCATATCCTGAAAAGTCCATTTTCTACTAAGAATCCCTTGCTTTAAACATTTTTACAATGGCCACCATTTATTGAGTACCCAGTTTTAGGCGCTCTTTTATTTCATGTAATCTTACTTATTCCATGTAAGCTTCACAAGACTCTACAACTTCTGCACCACTCATTCAGATTTATAGTTGAGTAAATGGAGTCCCAAGGCAACCCTGATCCATTTAACTGCAGATACCAGTTTTCTTTTCACTTGACCTGTCTCTCTCAAATTCGGGGACTGGTGGCATGTCAGGCGATACTCCAAACCACACAGTAAATAATGCTTCCAGGAGCATCAATGTTACTCAAAAATTGTTGTGGGAGACCCTTTACTTTATACATTTCCTCCAGCCATGTGCATCCATTCAACTATGTTCTGTTCAGTGGGCACTAGAATCCAGAAACATTCTGCACGAGTGGGACTTAGACATCCAGTATTTTTTACAGCCTCCTGAGTGACTGCACCTAGGGCAGCAAGGTTGAGAACCTCTGTTGTACATGATCTGGCCCATTTTTGAGCTTTAGGCTTCACGATCAAATTAAGATCAGAAGCTGAGTCTCCACCTCCCCAGCCCCTTGCTCTACTGCACCCTTTGGTTAGTTCTAAGTTTGAGGAAGGAAGTCAAGGGACAGGACTGTCTACCCTCATGTTTCCAACTAGACTTTTCAGTCCCAAGTTGAATACTCATGGTTCTGCTACACCTGAAACAAAACCAGTTCACTCTAGTTACCATGCTTAATCATCTTTCAAATCTTAGCAAGCCTTTTCTCATCACAGAATCCCTTGTGGACCATACCCAGGTACTTTGGCATGCTATATTCTGGGTTCCCATTACTTTTATGTTATATGTTAGATTATAATTCTTACTAGTCTGTTTTCACTGTAGGTGGTGAGCCCTAAATTAAAGCATCTTTGAGGATTGGTGCTTAGTAAACAAACACTTACTTTTCTATTACAAACAGCATTCAACTATTTACACTTAAGACACAGCAGGGCTTAAACCAATGGTCTTCTGTGTGTTAAAACTCACAGCTTGTGGCAGGACAAGTCAGATGCTTGAACGCAAAGGTGGGTACATTCCAAGTAACCAAATGCCCTGGCTTAAGGTTTCTCTGATGGACCCAGCAAGTCTCCAGGACATTGTTCATAGGCTAAGTTCGTTTATTAGGGCCCCAAGGAACACACCCATAGGCACGTCATAATTTGTTATGTACTTAGTAGTTACCTATGCCCTAAGATTCCTTAGCACTAGCATTTATTGGTTTCATTTTAATCTTAATACATTCTAATATACACTGTAAAGATTACACACCTATCCATCTCATGGCTCTTCTGTCAATGAAGACAAATTATTCTAGTCTTTTTTTTAACTCTAAGACCTCTTTAAAATTTCACTATTTGTATGGATAATTATTCTAGATGAGACAAACAAAAGATGAAGCATAATTAACTTATTTCATCTATGTTTTCCTGGAGAACACCATTATCTGGAAAACAATAGTCCAACATTTATAGCATATAACACAACTTTTATTAGAAAAGTTATACATAACATAGCATCAACTATTTTCAAGAACAATATTAAAACCCAATAAGCAACAAAAACCAGACTAACAAAATGTGTAACAAGAAACTAATGACTTTTCTATAATCAAACATTTAATTATCTACAATGTCTTTTTACAAAGGGAGAAAAATCCATGGTTTACAGGCACATCATATTGAAAATAAAGCGGCAATAGCAATTTGATACACTTACCATTCTCAAGAAACTGAATCATCAAAACAGTAATTACGAGTTCACAAATTTAAAACGTTGCACATAATTTAAAATTATTGGGTACACACTGAAGTCTGAGTGATTTTTTTTCCCACAAAAGTGCTACCACTTAAGCTAGAACTTTCAGTGTAATTTTGCCCTAAAAAGTTAAGACATGTTTTGATAATCATAACAGTCACATAATTTCTGGTGCTACCTGTCTGGTCTGTTAATAATAAAGCCTTTATTTGGATGTGTTTTTCCTTACTTAAATTATAGGAAACCAGATATTGGATTTGTTGCAAAGCTATTAAAGTCCCAAATATAGGAGTGTGCAAGCACTGGCAAAAAGATCAGTACTAAAACTTATAATAAATATCAAAGCCATTAGTTTTTACAGCACTGTCTGCTTCAAGGTTAAGTCAACCAGTTGTATGATTTCCCATCAGCCTGTCCTTTCAGCTGGCATAGCAATTTCTATTTTCATGATCTGAATACTCAAGTGTCTCCAAACATCTTTTTAAAACTTTGATTTGTAGTTCCTGGAAAGTTATAAATGCTCTTTAATATTCATTCTACTCTAAAAAGTCTATTTCTGCTCATTTTAGAGCCTCACTAAAACAACAGATTTTAGGATAGTAAGGTTCATTAAAAAGTTTCAAATGGAATGATTTCCAAAATAGGGCACTTAAACCAAGTCCTGTCTTTTTGTAGCTGAAGGGGATTAGTTACGATATAGTTTCAAACCCCCCCCCCCCGGTCACTGTGGAATTACGCTTTAAAACATTATCTCAAGAGGACAATCTCTGTTCTGGGTGCCATCCCTAAAGCACAAAGATTACAAGAAGACTGCCGGTGTTACTGATGGGAAAAGACACCACAGTTCTTAACTGTCTGTCAGGCATTTTTCTTGAAAAGTTCTTCTTTCCAATGCAGTAATGGAGACCCAGTATAAAAACCCCGACGTTCCACTGCTACTCAACACTAGTACACGTGCCAATGTTGTACACATCTGTTCTGGCCTGTTAAAAAATAATCTTCTGGGTTCTTGTTCTCCATCAGAACACAACCACCATACAAGATGAAACTGGTAAATTTAAAATACTGGAAAGAATGAAGAAAAAGGCAGAGACTTTGTACAAAGACCTAAATTTCTTGAAGGGTTTTGTGTGCCCTACACACGGGGGCAATTTGTACACACTAGTGAAACAGACACTAGCTATGATGCTTGTAGCTGCTCAAATAATGTGGAACCTTGGTCCAGGGGTTGCGATGATGTCGCTGTAGGGTTCCTCCTGTGTCAGCTCAATGGCTTGCTGCTTTTTGAGAACCAAGAAGCTGTAGAACTTTGCTGCAGCTTGCTTTCTGTTTGTGTTTCGACACAACTCAAGCAAACTGATAGATTCCGCTCCAGTTTTAGCAAGAGCTCGCTGAAATAAACCAAACAAAAAAAGAATTAAATGAAAGTAAATCTGCATAGTAAAGCAGTAATTTTAAAAGGGTACTAATTCTGGATACCAAAAAAATATACTGTAAATATTCTTTTGGGGGCCAGGAGTAGATTTTTGAATAGTAAGACTCTGTTTACATTAGGCTGTTCCAACAAATGTTAAAATAACTCATTTATTTTGAATGTCTAATTGACAAAATAGTAAGATCAAACTCGGTTCTGAAAACTTTCAACTTAACTATCCTTTGAATCTATTTATGAAACCTTGAGCACCTTGCCTGGTATTTTCATAGAAGACACTCAAGGTATCTCCTCTGTACCCGCTACATTAAGGCCCAAGGATAAATGACGTCTGACACTGAACAATGATTCAATTCATTAGATTTGTTCAACCAAAAGAAAGAAAATGTAGACTCACAAAGGAGGTCTGCCCTGCAGGTTAACTACAGGAAAGTGTTCACCTGGATGCTTTCCAGGCTGGCTCTTGGCCTAACAGCTTATGTATTAAAGTAGTTTACGATGTGCAGTTCTGCAAAAAGTTTCATAAAAGGCAAGTTTTCTGGTTATAGCATGTCACTTTTTTTTTTGAGCAAACAATGCCAAAAGCCTTTGGTGAAATCTCTCTCAGGCTTCATGGGCATACCTGAAGACCATGAAGCATCTGCTGAGTCCTTTTGTTCCATCGTCTTTCTTCTTGATCCTGATCACCCCCTGAAGCATCTTCATCCTGAGTGAAAATGACCCCCACACAAAAACAAAACAAAAAACTGACAAAACTGCTACAAAATGAGGCGGTTTTTATATCTCTTGAAAGCTCTTAAACTAAACTGAGCATTTTGATTAATGGAAAAGTCATTTAGCATGTAGTTTGAAGTCTTTCTTAAGAAACAAAGTCCTCTACCTCCAAGCATACTTGAGCTGAATATGATTCTGTACTGATCTATAAGGATGTGATCTATCTACACAGTGTGGTCCATGGACTACTGTTGGTGGTGAGCTACACGTTACTGGCCCTTGCTAAGAAATTTAAGCAGTCACTATGTCATTAAGTACATTGTTATTTCAACCAGCTTTTTATTATTTTTCATACTGGAGCTAAGTTAATTGTGGATGACAATTGTTTGAATGTAAGCTAAACTTCTTAGTGATCTAGATCATCATTAAGAACATCAGATTTTATGCTGTGCTATGTAACTGTGTCCTCTGTGGGCTTTTGAAGGACATCGGAGTGCCCTTTCACTGATTTCTTGACTTCTAAATTGTTTCTAGCTGCCTTTATCTTGTGGCTGGTTCTTACTGCTGGTTGAAGATTTTTGCTTAGTCTGGAATGCACATTTATTCATCAGTCCTCTTTACAGCCCTTCCTTACCTCCTCCTCTTCATCATCTTCCTTTTCCTTCTCTTTTTCCTTCTCTTTTTCTGGTAGAAGTTCTAATTCTGGAATTAACTGACAGATATTTGGAGGCTCTTCTGGGGGCAGCTCTACAGGAGGTATTTCCATCTGCTCTGCCTGCTGAGGCTTCAGGCAAAATGAAAAGAAACAGTGGGGTCATATCTCCACACTTCCTTATAATCAAAACCTGATTATTATACATGTCTTGTTCTTTTTTTTTTTACTGTGAAGCATTAAAATAGCTTATAAAAATATTAATTCATTCATTATCTTATTCTAGGACAAAGTGTTTTGTTTTCATACTTTTTAGAAGTCAAATTACTTGAAGCTTACGTGAGGAATTTGTAAAAAACAAGAACTATAGTTACAAAACCCTCAAAACTTTCTGTAATAGCATTTTAGGAAAAAACAGAATCCACTGACTCCAGGGCAATGCAAAAAGTCTCTTAACATTAATTACCTGGTACCGTCAACCATTCCTGCATACGACAGCCTTAAGGCTATTCCAACAAAGCCTGAGCTCTAAATAAGAGCCTAGGTGCTCTTATGGCAGCAAATTAATAGGGATCAAGAGACTATTGTTCTGGGCTCATTTCTTGAATTCCCTCCATTTCTGGCTTAATATAAACAGACGAGAACATTAATAAACTGACAAGGGAGTAAGTACCCAGAGAGCAGTACTAGAGCAACCCACTCGTTACCTGTTCCCAGTCCTATTCCCGAGCTCAAACAGAAAAATGCTCTTCTTGACAACTCCTTACCACCAGAGGGCACAACTAGTTCTTAAAACTGGCAAGGAGTATTCTTCTGCCAACGTCTTGATGGAAGCTGAACCAAGAGCCTAAGGTACCAAAAAGCCTCCCTTTGCTCAGATTAATTTATTCCACAGACTTAAGGTTGAGAAGCCTTAAACCAGAGCACCTTACTTCCTTTCTATATATAGGTATGTTTTAATTGAAATATAGTTGATTTACAATGTTGTTAGTTTCTGGTGTACAGCATAGTGATTCAGTTATACCAGCGTATTTAGTTATACCAGCGTATTTTTTATTACAAAACGTATTTTTATTACAAGACAATGAATATAGTTCTCTGTGTATACAGTAGAAACTTATTTTATATATAGTAGTTGGTACCTGCAAATCTCAAACTCCCAATTTATCCCTTCCCTCTCCCTCAGTAACCATAAGTTTGTTTTCTATGTGAGTAGGTTTCTGTTTTGTAAGTTCATTTGTATCATTTTTTTAGATTCTACATGTAAATGATATATGATATTTGTCTTTCTGTCTGACTTACTTCACTCAGTGTGGTAATTTCTAGGCCCATCCATGATGCTGCAAATGGCATTATTTTATTTCTTCTGGCTGAGTAGTATTTCATTATGCGTGTGCGTGCACCACCTCCAAATCCAATCATCTGATGATGGACATTTAGGTCGCTTTCATGTCGTGGCTATTGTAAACAGTGCTGCTATGAACACTGGGGTGCATCTGTATTTTTGAGTTAGAGCTTCCTCTGGAATATAAAAAAATTTCTTCCTTCCAGTTTTACTGAGATATAATTGACATAGAGCACTGTATACTTTTTTTTGGGGGGTGGGTGTGGAGGCAACTAGGTTTTTATTTTTATTTTTAATGGAGGTACTGGGTATTGAACCCAGGACCTCATGCTTGCTAGGCCTGCATTCTACCACTGGGCTATGCTGCCCCCCAATTTTTAGTTTTTTTTTTTTTTTTTTTGAAGGGATCTCCATACTGTTTTCCATCGTGGCTGTGCCAAATTACATTCCCACCAACAGTGTAAGAGGGTTTCCTTTTCTCTCCCTCCACCTCCAGAATTTGTTTGTGGACTTCTTAATGATGGCCACCCTGACCACTGTGAGGTGATACCTCACTGTAGTTTTCATTTGTATTTCTCTGATAATTAGCGATACTGAGCATCTTTTCATGTGCCTACTGGCTATCTGTGTGTATTCTTTAGAGAAATGTCTCCTTAGGTCTTCTGCCCATTTTCTGATTCAGTTGTTTGTTTTTTGTTGAGTTCTCTGAGCTGTTTGCATATTCTGGAAATTAAGCCCTTGTCAGTCACATCGTTTGCTAGTATTTTCTCCCAGCCCGTAGGCTGTGTTTAAGTTTGATTAGGTCCCATTTGTTTATTTTTGTTTTAATTTCTATTGCCTGGGTAGACTGCTCCAGAACACTGCTATGATTTATGCCAGAGAATATTTTGCCTATGTTCTCTTCTAGGAGATTTATGATGTCCTGTCTTAAGTCTTTAAGCCATTCTACGTTTATTTTTGTATATGGCGTGAGGGAGTGTTCTAACTTCACTGATGTTCTAACTTTATTGATTTACATACATGTGGCTGTCCAGCTTTCTCAACACCACTTGCTAAAGAGACTGTCTTTTCTCCATTGTATATTCTTTCCTCCTTTGTCAAAGATAATTGATTGTAAATGTGTGGGTTTATTTCTAGGCTCTCTATTCTGTTCCATTGATCCATGTCTGTCTGTGCAAATACCAGGCTGTTTTGATTACTATGGCTCTGTACTACTGTTTGAAGTCTGGGAGGGTTATTCCTCCAGTCTCCTTTTTCTTCAGTATTGCTTTGACAATTCTGGGTCTTTTGTGGTTCCATACAAATTTTTGGATTATTTATTCTAGCTCTGTGAAAAATGTCCTGGGGAATTTGATAGGGATCACATTAAATCTGTAGATTGTATGGTCATTTTAACACTTGATTCTTCCAATCCAAGAGCATGAGGTATCTTTCCTTTTCTTTAAATCATCTATAAGTCTTTATCTCCTTGGTCAGGTTTATACCTAAGTATTTTATTTTTTTTGATGCAATTTGGAAGTTTTTAAATTTTGTTTCTGACATTTCATCATTACTGTAAAGAAATGCAACAGATTTCTGCATGTTAATCTTGTACCCTGTACCTTGCTGAATTTGTTTAGTTCTAGTAGTTTTTGTGTAGAGTCTGTAAGGTTTTCATATATAGTATCACAACATCTGTGTATAGTGACAATTTTATTACCTCTTCCCTTCCAATCTGGATCCCTATTATTTCTTCTCCTTATGACTGCTGTAGCTAGGACTTCCACTACTATGTTGAAGAGAAATGGTGAGTGGGCATCCTTGTCTTGTTCTGGATTTTAGTGGGAAGGCTTTCAACTGTTCACTGCTGCATATTATGTTAGCTGTGTGTTTGCCATTAAAGTAGGTAAAATGTTGGGGTATGTTCCCACCACACCCACTTTGGTAAGAGTGAATGGATGTTAAATTTTACCAAATGCTTTTCTTCTTCTATTGAGATGATCATGTGGTTCTTGTCCTTTCTTTTGTTGATGTGGTGGATCACAGATTTGTGTATGGTGAACCACCCCTGTAACCCTGGGATGAATCCAATTTGATTGTAGTGTATGATCTTTTTATGTGCTGTTGGATTCGGTTTGCTACTATTATGTTGAGAATTTTTGCACCTACATTCATCAGAGATATTGGCCTGTAGTCTTCTCCTTTGGTAGTGTTTTTGGTTTTGATATCAGGGTGATGGTGGCTTCATAGAATGACTTTGGGAGTTCCCCTTCCTCTTCAATCAATTGGAAGAGTTTAAGAAGAATCAGTGTAAGTTCTTCTTTCTATGATTGTGGAATTCCCCAGTGAAGCCATCTGATCCTGGACTTCGTTTGCAGGGAGTTTTTTTTTCTTTAAACTAGAGATTCTATTTTACTTCTATTTATCACTCCACTCATTATCTATTTCTTTTTGATTCAGTTTTGGTGGACAGTATTTCTAGAAACTTGTCCATTTCTTCTAGGTTATCCAATTTGTTGGTATATAGTTGTTGATAGTATTCTTTTATGGTTTTTTGTATGTCTGTGGTATTGGTTCTTCTCTTTCATTTCTTGTTTTATTTGGGTTCTCTCTTTCTTCTTGGTGAGCCTGGCCAGAGGTTTGTTGATTTTGTTTACCCTTTCAAAAAACCAGTTCTTGATTTTATTGCTATTTCCCATTGTCTTTTTTAATCTCTATTTTACTGATTTCCTCTCTGATCCTTCCGAGTTTAGGTTTTGTTTGTTCTTTTGCTAATTCTTTTTTACGTGGAACATTCTCTAGGACTGACCATGTACCAGGACACAGGTTTTGCATTTCTTCTTTGTTCCTTTTTGTTTTTCCCTTTTGAGGTTTGATGATTTTCTACTGTATAATGGTTGAGTTTTCTCTGTGACTCTACTGTTATGTTTTTGATTTATGGTTACCCTGTTTTTCAAGTACTTTAACTTGATTACTGTATCTACTTGCTTTAGACTTTTATCCATATAGGTGTAAACATTCTTAAAAACAAACAAAAATTTCTTAATCCCTTACCTACGTTTTATGATTTTGATGTCCTCTTCATGCTTATGCTATTCATTGTAGTTATATTTCCAATTGTGATTTTATCTTTTCTAGATTCTTTTCTATTTAGAGAAGACTTTTCAATTAGTGTTGCTATATTTAGTTTTTGTTTGAGAAATTCTTTTCTCTCCTTTTATGCTAAATGATAATCTTGCTGGGTAGACAGTATCCTAGGTCACAGGTTTTTCCTTTCAGGACTTTGAATATATCTTGCCACTCCCTTCCAGCCTGAAACATTTATGTAGAGAAATCAGCTGATAGTAAAGCTAACTTTTTTTCTAGTTCCTTGTTACAGTGATCTGCATAGATCATTTCTATAAACAGCTTTTTAAAATTCTTTCAGTATTTTTATTATCCCCTTTTTGAACTCTAGGTCTGATAGACTGGAGAAGTCTATTTTATTGTTTTTTCAGGGGGATTTCTCCTTTAATTGGGAGTGGCTCCTCTACTTCATGTTACTTGTATTTCTCTGACTCTGAGTTTAGGAGCAACAGTTATCTACTGTGGTCTTGATTTATGTGGGACCATCTGTGTGTAGCCTGTGTGATTCTAATATTCTGGGAGAATTGTTCCTTATGTTGATCTATATTTGATGTATCTATGGGAGGAGGTGAGCTCCACATCCTTCTATTCCACCATCTTGACCTCCTCTCTTTAAGTGAATTTAGTGGTAGCCAGTCTTGATGACATAGCAAGATCTGACTTCTTAATAAGAAAGCCTAAAACTGCCTAGTATTGGAGATACACAGGAATGTTTGCTAAAGAAACCAGATCCTGGAACAGAATAGAGAGCCTAGGAATAAACCCACACATATATGGTCAATTAATTCAGCAGCAGAAAGGAGCCAAAAATACATACTGGAGAAAGGACAATCTCGTCAATACACGGTACGGGGAAACACGGACAGCCACACGGAAAAGAATGAAATGGATTACAGGCGTGACTCTAAGACCTGAAACCAAAATTCAACAGAAGAAAACACTGGCAATAAGCTCCCTGACACTGGTCTTGATAATGATTGTTATGGATTTGACACCCAAAGCAAAAAATATACAAGTGGGACTACATTAAACTAAAACATTCTATATAGATACCATCAATAAAATGAAAAGGCAACCTACAGAATGGAGAACATATTTGCAAATCATTTATCTGATAAAGAACTCACATAATTCATGAGAAAAAAAACAATTAAAAAATGGGCAGAGGATGTGAAGACCAAAGACTATACTGATGGCCAACAGGTACATGAAAAGGTACGCAACATCTTTAAATCAGGGAAATGTAAATAAAAACCACAATTAGGAATCACCTATCATTGAAAAGACGAGGTAACCAGCAGTGGCGAGGATGAGTAAAGGAAACCCTCATGCACTTCTGGTGGGACTGTGAACTGGTACTGCCACTGTGGAAAACCAGTATGGAGGGTCCTCAAAGAATTAAAACCAAAACTACCATATGATCCAGCAATTTCACTTCTTCTGGGAAATGAAATCACTACCTTAAAAAGATATCTGCACCTCCATGTTCACTGTAGCATTATTTATAATAGCCAAATAATAGCCAAGCTATGGAAACAACCTAAGTATCCAACAGCATATAAATGGATAAAAAAAATATATATACATATAGACACACACTGAAATATTCACCACGAGAAAGAAGGAAATTCTGCCTTTTGTGACAACATGGATGGACCCTGAGGGCATTATGCTAAGTGAAATAAGTCAGAGAAAGAAACTGTTTGATAAATATCACTTACATGTGGAATCTAAAAAAGCTGACACTCATAGAAGCAGAAAGTAGAATGGTGGTTACTAGAGGGTGGGGAAAATGAATAGATATTGGTCAAAGAAAAACTTCCATATATTACAATAAGTTTTGGGGATCTGACATACAGTATGCTGATTAAAATTAATGATACAGTTGTCCCTCTGTATCTGCAGGGGATTTGGCTTCAGGATCCCCTCTGTAATACATCAATTTACATAAGAGTCTTAAGCATCCATGAATTTTGGTATTCAGACAGGCCTCTGTATCTGCATCCATGGATAAGGAGATTAAATTATACCACATATCTGCAAGTTGCTAAGAGTAGATCTTAAAAGTTCTCATGATAAGAAGAAAATGTGTGATGGATGCTAACTTACTGTGGTAATCATTTCACTACATATACACATATCACCCAATCATTGTGTTGTACACCTGAAGCTAATACACTTAAACTGGATGAGAAAATGTGCAATATAAATGGTGAGACACTATGAGACTCTACTAGTTTCAAGTATAAAAATTTTTTTTTTTTTAGCAGGAAGTTTGTTTCATTTTTATTCACAATGTATTTAGTATCTGTAGAATTTAATAGGTTCCATATACTGCTTTTCTTCTATCTGCAACTAAATGTTGGAGAAATAAAACTGGAACCAAGTTCAGAGTCAAGGATTCCACATTAGCCAAGGATACTCACTCTAAGCCACTTTGAAGCACGACTCTATCCAGGAAGTCAGAAAAACCAAAAATTCCTCCCACTTAGAGCATATTGTGTTTAGATCCTCAGCTGCCATTCTTTCTCTCTGCACACATTCCTTACTACTTTCTGCCAAAACCAAGATACTTCAAAAGGTCTCCTTAAGTAACACCTGTGCTACTAGAGATCTAAAATACTGTTTGAGCACCCCAAACATCATGATGGAGAGATGTGCTTACTTACAGGGATCACAGGCTCTGGGTCAATTTGTCCAGCTTTTCGCTTAACTCCCTGAGGTGGTGGTGGGGGCATGGCTGACTCGTCCAGGTTTGTTCTGCTCGTCTCCATTGTTGACTCCTGGAGGCGGCTTGGCTCTTCCAAAATGGGCTCATCTGCATTTGGTCATATGAAGAGAAGGCTTAGGGCCTAACAGTCCTCAACAATATTTTAAAACCATTTACGTTTAATACTAATATGCTAAGAGTAAAACAAAGAGACTTACTTTCCCTAAGGAAGGCTGAGTAAAATTTTACCTCCAAAAGGTTACTCAATTCCTAAAAATACACTTAAAGGTGGGAAGGGGACTACAAGGACAAGTCCCACCCAGGACTATCCATTAGCAGGCTATCATTCAGCCAGTCCTATAGGTCAAACCTTTCTGAAAACAGAAAACTTCACATCTAACAAAGCAATCAGAGAATGTTAAGGCATGTATTTCCCTGTCCAAAAATTTGAGTATACTTCTTTGTTTCTGACTTGTTTTGGCAATATATAGGTAAATTTTAAACCAAATGTTCACTTAAACTTTATCAGGAAACTTTTTCAATTGAACAGACCTATAACATCACGCTGCTGATGCTGCTGCTGCTGGTCCTCTCTGGGAACCTCTGGATTTTCAAATTCTTTGAGGAATTCATCCAAATTATCAGCCTCTCCTCCTTTCCTCCTTTTTCTAAGATCTTCTGGTACTAGTGGTGTAAGACAGCGTGTAAAGAGCTATTAAAAAAAATTAAAAATATCAATTATAAAATAAATCACATAAACTTAAAACCTACCACTGACATTACTATTTTCCGTAAGTATGTTTTAATAAATATGCTATAATCAGTGTATATGTAATTTACCATGAATTCTACTCAATGTTATATTCACACTTCACTGTATTTTATAATTTGAAATCCTGTACTTTAAACTCTAGTATTATCTCCAAGTTATGAAACAATGGATAAATTTTAAGTGTGCAAATGAAAATAAATTTAAAACTTAATCTAAATGAAATCATACCAAATAGCTTTATATAGTGCCTTTTCAACTTAATGTTATATGGTAATTATAATTACTATTATTTCTGGTATTTTTAATGATTGCATAATATTCCACTGAGTAGAGATAAACGTGTGTGTGTGTATATATATGTATGCGCCACACTTCAAGACTGTTTCTTTTTAAAAAATTTAATGAACATCTTCATATAAGTGGCTCTGAATTACTTCCTTTGGAAAAATTCTTAATGATGAGACCACTGAGTCCAAAAATATAAATATATTAAGGACCTTCTTCCAAATGATTATATGATTGTATTTCCAGTAAACAGCAGTTTTACCAAAGTCTTACTGCTTTAAAAACTAAATTATAGTAAAGTCAATATGGTTCTATGAATATTTTAACTTCAGAGATAATAATAACCTAACAGCTTTTCTGATGCCTCAGAACTTTTATGGAATAGTCTGAAACCTGAAGTGAGCAGAAAAGGGCCTGTTAAGTGAAAAAAAATCTCTAAAGAATTCTAGCTTTATTTGCGGGAAAAGTAGAACTACCCCACGTTTTAGCCAGAAAGCAACATCTAAAGATTGCAGACCTGAACCACAGTACACACTAAGGCAACAAAATGTATCATAGGAGGTTGAGGAGAGAGAACTATTATTAAAAATACCAGTGGCTTTTTAGAAAATTCATTCTGTATCTTTTAGAAATGCAGATGTCACTTCCATGATCTTTCAGATCAGATTATGTTCAGTATACTAAGGTTTATGGGAGAACAAAAAGAAGATGCCAGATAGCTGAAAAATATCTGATCAAAATGATTCAAACAAAAGTTATTAAAGGATATTTTAAAAAATGGTCATAATCTCTCTAAAATGAAAAATTCTGCAAACTGTATTACCTTCAGTAGTCTGTTATTCCACAAAGGCTGAGCAGGCAAAGAGAAGAGTTTTTCCACTCCCCCGGTCTCTTTCCACATCATCAATTTCTTGGTGGGTGGTGCCAGATCCAACGTAGTAACAATATCCGAGTAATCACTAAGTTGGGCTCTAATTGTCTTGCTATCCAGCTCTTTGACACTGTCAACAATTAGCTTCCTCTTCCTCTTGGCTTTTGTTTCTTTGACTAGTATGATAAAAGAAAATAAGGTCATTTTTCTGAGAGGCTAGCATGAAACATCCAACTACCAGACTTGGTCTCATTATATTCCTGCTTTACTAAATACCTAGAAAAAAAGTTAAGCCTCACGAGGGCAGAGTCTGTTTTAACTGATGTTTCCCAAGTACCATGTAGAGGCTGGCATGTATGCTAGCCACGTGTTCAATAAAAATCTGCTGAATGAATAAATATGTATAGATTTTTAGCACAAAAGGAGCAAAATAATGGCCAGGGCCAATACATTTTTGCTCATGTAGCTTAATACTATAAACACGGAACACACCACACTTGATTCAGAGTTGGGCTCAAGTCCTAGGTTCGGCCACTTACTAGGTGAGTGACCATTTAGAAAAGTTAACTTTATTTTGCTCACCTCTTCATTTACTCATTTGAAATATGGCTAATCACTTATATAGGGATTCTAAAATACTTTGTATAGAGCCTGGCATAGACTGAGGACTCCATAAATGGCTGCGATTACTATGAGTTTTATTGGAAAAGCTGCAGTTGCACAAGCAGCTTGATGATGTGAAACAAGGCCAAATCCAGTAGGTAGCATTATCTCAATTTCTTAAAATACAGAAAAGCCCAGGATATTAAATTTCAAGATTTCATTCTGTCAGACACATTATAATCCATAGGTTTTTATAGATATAATCTTCACGTGGTTCAAAATTCAGGATTCAAAAAGATGTCACACAGTGATAGCCCCTGTCCTCCAGCTACTGAGTTCCCTTTCCTGAAATTAAAAGTTCAATAGTTGGCTAAGCCTAACTATTCTACTTTAAACACTGCAGTGTATCTCCCTCTTGTTTACAGATCTCTGTAATATGTCACGAATGTATACATATGTTGCTTAATTACCCATGTTCTTCTAGTATTTAGGTTCCATGAGGATAGACTTGTTCATTTTTATATTTTTAGTTCCTCAGTAGAATTAGTTACATAGTAAGTACTCTTTTCAAACCAGAAGCCCAAGCCACAATTTTGGTGATCAGATGTCTAAGTAGGAAACCCATAAGTTGATTGTGTTTTACTCAAAAGTAGTAACAGTATTTTGAATAACACTGTAACTGACTTCAAGTTTTCTACCTCATTGTACCCATAAAACATCTAGAAATTGTGAAGTTTCATATCCAAATTAAACACTGCCTCTCTTACTCAGAAGCAGCACCCCCATTTAAATATGTTTTGATATGGTTGTCAATGAGCACTAAAAACAGAATACTGATTTTAGAATCTTTGATATTTCCAGTTTTTTAAAAAAGTTATTTTTAGATTTCCCCAGATTGTAGCCCAAACTATGCAGAATCTAGAACCTTGGAAGATAATTAGTCAATTTTGTACTTTACTGAAAAATGCCTTGTAGTGTTTTCTAACTGTTATATGTATGACCTGTCAGCATTCTGGGAAACCCAAAAGACTGAGATATGTATTAACAGGAAGCGTGTTTTATACTTTTACTTCATAGCAACTTGCACAGATTATTCTGTAAGATATAAGATACAGGAATTATAACTGAATTAAATAAAGATTCTATGATAGATGGCTGACAAAAGAGAAAGTAGCTATTTACAATGAGATTAGTGGACATTAGCCAGAATTAGAACTTTATGTTCTAAGTTTAATGAGTCAAAAAGTTTATTTCTCACCAGTGATATCAATAGGTTCCAAAGCAAAGGCTTCTTCCTCATTTGGAACAAGTGTTGTTTGATCAGTCATAGTTGGCATTGGTTCAACAGGATCCACTGAATCAGGACTATCAGGACCACCCACTACAAAAACAGAAATTTGGTCACAAAAGGCTTGGTTAGTGGGTACTTAATGCATGTCCAACAAATGGGGAAAAATAATTCCTCTGGGTAACTGAAAGAAACCTACTGATACCAAAGAAAAAACACTTTTCTAGTTATGAGGAAGTCCCTCCACAGTTGACCCTACTGGCCAAAAAAAAGGGAGAGGCACAGGATTAAACATGTAAGACAATCATTAAGCACTATTTTTTACGGAGATTTATAATTCACTAGAAGCTGGAACTTCTAGTTTTTGGTCTTCTACATTAAGTATCTTTTTGGAAGCAACAGAATCACACCCAGATCATTGAACATGAAATGCTTACTTGATACATTATCATCCTCATCCATATCATCATGTGCAGGCTGTTCTGGCAACATCACCCCTGCCTCAGACAGTGCAGGGGGATCGTCAAAGATACCGCCATCATTATTACTAATAAGTTTGTCATCTGAAACACAGAATTGTTATAATTTAAAAAAGAAATGCTGAAAGAACAATAGCCAATCACTAGAAGAAAATGTTTAAATTAAAAAATTTAAATCTGTATTCAATATGCATCTGTTCTCTTCAAGACAGTGTACAAAAGTATAAAACACTTAGCATACGAAAAAACTCATTCTTGATTTATATTCTGTAATTCAAATCTGTCTATAATACACATTTACTTAATCCAATGCAAGTAGAGCAGTTGTAAGAATTAGTGAAAGTTAAAACTCCAAGAGAAGTACTTTTGAACAAAATTAGGTATTGTTATTACACTTTTAGGCTACAGGTTTACAGAAAACTTTTACTGAACCACATGGTGGCAATTCACACATTTATCACCTAGAGAGTTGCTCAAGATGAGAATTAGCAACTGCTCTAAAACAACACAACTAAAAAGAAATTATGTAGAATAAACACCTTTGACTTACCTAATATACCACCGTCATTTCCTTCTCCAAAATTGTCATCCTTATACTGGTCTTCATACTCTAAATGGTTAATTTTCTCATTCAGATTGCTGGTGCTCTGTTCAGGCTCCAACAGGAGGTTAGAAGCACTAGTGCTTACTAGCATGTCATCATCCTCAAATGCACTGCCTTCTCTCATTATTTCACGATCATCCATTCCAAAGTCACCTAAAGAAATTCTAGTTAGTCACTAATTGAAAAAAGAAGTATCACTGATAAAAGAAAATGGCTAATGATTTAATTATAATGTCACATTTGCTAACTGATGTCTTATTTACCGTTAAATACTAAAATGTCTAGTTTAAACTTTAAATCTTCAGCCATCTATGTTTCATAAACTGATTCTGGGGCATGACTAGCAAATTCAATTGTAAGACCCCAATTTAGGTTATCCTAAATATATTAAGTAAATCTAAGCATGTATGTATGTTAGGTCACATTAACATTCAGACTTAAAACTTTCTTGTTACAGTATTTTCATCAAGAAAAGAATCTGGCTTGCTACATAGTAGGTAAATGATGCCAACTGATTCCAAAATGATTAGCTGAAAAGCAAGCATTACCTCAACTTTGGGACTTTTAACACAAGTTAATATATAGGTTCTTCCCATGTATGGGGAGGAATAGGCAAAGAATGAACTCTAAGTTTGGTGCATAAATGGAAATAATGCTTAATATACTGGTAGGAAAACATTCTTTTTTGATGAAAATGCATGAGATGCTTTCTTTTTTAACTTGTTAGTGTCACAATGTAATTTTAAGATTATAGCTAGTGGCTAATGATTTGTTTCTCTATTACCAAAATCATTTTCTTGTAGGATACTGATGTTTCCAACTTCTTCTCTCATGGTTATCTCTTCCACTCTACTCTGGTTCAGGCTGAACTGCTGGGCCACATCGATGTCACTTTAAAAGAATTTCAAATACATTTCAGTCTCAAGTCTCACTGTAATGTATTTATAAGGAAAAAAAATCTTATTTCTCTCTGTAAGAAAAAAAACTACATACACAACCTATGGACCCTAAATAGTAATATACTAACACAACCCAAGAAATCTGAATGACTTGGAAGTTAATTTAATTTGCATTTAAATTTTAAAACCATTAATGACTGGCAAGCAAAATACAATATGCTGAAATCACTACATAAGGCAACATGGTATACAGAGGAAAAACTTAAGAGATGCATTAACTAGATATGCATGGGTTTGCATTGGGGCCCTACAACTTACAGGTTGTGTGAACAATGAAGTTAACTGGCTTTCCTGGGACTC